TCACTCTTTGTTGCCCTGCAATGAGAAATACAAACTCACATTATTAATGTTGCACGTAATGATTTTTATTACCGTTACATGACATATAGTTCATTGATGCGCGTTGACTATCCTTGACCTTGACAGGGATCGGTGATCTGTTATATATTCAGTGACATTTCACCGATCCTACAGTCTCTAGTATCATCCCCGTGAGTAAGTTTCATGACTGAAAATAAATTAAATTTCAAAAGTTTGAGCGCACCTCTCAAATTCGTCTGAAATAACCCCATCAATTTTTTTCTGCTGACTGATACATGATAATCAGGAGATCGTCACGGACCATGATCGTTTTCTAAGGTTTTCAAGTGTAACAAGTGAACGTGTTTTATTTGTATTTCATAATAAGCTAAGCGTGCAATCAAGTGCAAAAATTATCAGTTAGTACAAACACTACACTTGCTTACTTAGGGAATCGAACTCCAACATAATGTGAGTAATGATCTGAAATTGGTTATTGCACGCTATTTAAAAAGGACAGTGGTATTTTTCCTCGTTGAGTAAATTCTATTGTTTTGATCGTTATTAACGTATCAAGACTACTGTTTTTATACTTTGATTGAATTTCTTTCAGTTAAAGTATTCTGTTAGAGTATCATCTTTGGTATCCTAAATAGTTTTATCGTCGGTACTCCAGAGTACCTTTTTTTCCATTGTGTCTGTTAGTACTTTGGTCCTAACTGTTCATAGTTTTTTTTCTACTTGTAGTCAACACTCACTTTCGCATCCTAAAATGACTGGAAGATGTAACAAAAGCATTTGCCACCGCCCAGGATGTCGATATCCTGTTGATAGCGGCATGCAGTGCGATGAGTGCAAAGGTTGGTACCACGATGTTTGCACGAATCTAACACCTGCAGCTTTCAAGCGGTTCAGTAAAAATGGGTATGTATGGCTATGTCAACAGTGCTGTTTGGATGCAAATAGCCTGTTAACCGAGGCCATCTCAATAGTAAATGCCGCAAAAAAGTGCCTCGGCAAGCGCGGTCGGGATACATCAGTCAGAACTCAATCTGTCGACACGCAGATTGACACAAGGCAGGCCCAAGTGAGTCCAAAAACTGCCGACCCACACTCTACTAAGGAGGAAGAACATCCTCCAAAGTGGACTGTTACAACCAGAAACTCGCGCAAAAAAGTCTCTTCTGTCCCTCGTATCAAAAATGGTACCCAGAAGGGAACTTCCAGAAGCCGAATCCGCAAGGCTCGATCGGTTTACAGCGCGAAAGATGACCCAATCTCCCAAGTCGTCCTGACTCTTCCGGAATCCCATAGTACGCCTGACGCGACTGTGGTTGCCACTCCAAAGAACGTTGGCGATTGGGTACGGGTCGTAAGAAAAAAACGCCAAAATGACGTAAAAGGAAATCATACCCCCACCAAAAGGGTCGACAGGCCGAGGTCTGATCACAGCGACAGATCAGTCATGCTCCATAGAGTCAAGGAGAGTGACAACTTAGAACCGAAAGCTCGTTTTTGAGCATGACATTGTGTTGATAAAACAACTACTCAACCAAGTTATGCCCAAAAACATCCCCGGAGTCACCTTGCTAAAGGTGTATAGACTAGGAAATCTAGCGCATCTGAAACCAAATCAGTCTAGACTACTCAAAGTCGTTTTCAAATCCTCAAACGAACGCGACTTAATCTTAGAAAATGGACACAAATTAAAGGGTTCAGGAGTTTTTCTCCGTAAGGACTTACCGTTGGCGGACCGTGTTAAAAGACGGGAAGCCGAAAAGGAACTACAGCTCAGATTAGACGCTGGCGAAAAAGACCTGAAAATTGTAAATTTTCGGGTTGTGAGGCTTCGACAGAGGATGATGCCGAAGCCACTCTGGGTGAAGCACGAGGCCACCTAAATAGGCTTCGGATCTGTTATACCAACGCCCGGAGCTTACTAAATAAGCTACCGGAACTAGTTGTACAGATTGACTCAACTAGGCCAGACATAATCGCAGTCACAGAAACATGGCTGACGCCGTCTATAGATAGTAGGGAACTTGATTTCGAGGGTTTTACATTGGTAAGGGCCGATAGAATACAAACGCGTAAAGGAGGGGGAGTAGCTCTATTCATTAGGAATGCTATTCCATTCACCATTATCGACAGTGTATCCCATGAGAGTGGGACGTACGAATTAGTTTGCTGCCGCCTGAAATGCAGGGGACAAGAGTTGCTACTTAGTTTGATCTATCGCAGTCCAAGCTGTGAGGCAAACGAGGTCCTGCTAAGCAGTCTCAACACTTTATCACGAAGTGATCGATGTCTAATCCTAGGGGACTTTAATGCACCCATGGTGGACTGGGGAAATCTGCGGACTGAATGGTCAGGAAACTCCTTCGAACAGGAACTAGTTGATGCGGTAATCACATGTGCCCTAGTGCAACACGTGAAGGAAGCAACTAGGTACGACCCGGGTTCTGCATCATCCTTACTAGATCTTATATTGACTCATTATGAGGATGATGTTGCAAACCTGGATTACATGCCACCCCTAGGCAAAAGTGATCATGCAGTTTTAAGCTTTGACTTCCATATAACTGTCGATCACGAGTACGCTTCAGCTCAATCCAGACCTAACGTCTGGAAAGCAAACATAGCAGACATCATGAAATCAGCATCATTAGTAGATTGGAAATTAGACCCAGAGTCATCAATCGAAACGGCTTGGGACGTATTCCGGAATTTATACTTAAAAGTTACCACCCCCCACATCCCTTGGACTACACCTAAGAGACCGAGAAACTCCCCACCGTGGTTCAGTAGGGAGGTTCGCATCCTTCTCCGTAAAAGAAGGAAAATGTGGGACAGATTTAGGTTACTGGGGACTGACGAGGCAAAATCTCAGTATCAAAAGGCTCGAAATACCTGTGCCTCAACCCTCCGTAAGGCCAGAAAGCTGTACGAAGAGAAAATCGTTAGGGAATCCATAGAATGCTCTAAACGCTTGTATTCGTATATAAACCAAAGGACAAAAAGAAGAAGAAATGTTCCTTCACTATGGGGAGACTGTACTGCCACATCACTAGTGGAGGATGACTTTGGCAAAGCTCAAGTATTCTCTAAATACTTTAGCGATGTATACACCATAGAAACACCCTTCTCACCAGTCCATGAAAATCCACCCACACAAGCACTGGACAGCGTAACCATTAAAGAACTCGATGTCTTTGGTCTGCTAGTTAAGCTTGACATAGGTAAATCCACTGGACCCGATGAACTGCATCCTAGGTTATTAAAGGAATTAGATAACTTTGTTGCGAACACTTTAAGTGTATGTTTTAATCTATCCGTAACCCAGGGTCGTCTACCAAAAGACTGGAAGAACGCCATAGTAAGTCCAGTCTTCAAAACAGGTACAAAACATAAGCCTGAGAATTACCGACCAATTAGCCTAACTAGTGCGGTTGTTAAAATCTTAGAAAAGATTATTCGGAAGGAACTGTTAAAGTATCTCGATGAAAACCGGATCCTCTCCGAAAAGCAGCATGGTTTTAGAACAGGTTACTCTTGTCTCACAAACTTATTAGTCGCTCGTGAAAGCTGGTGCGCTCTTAAGGACCAAAAATTACCTATAGACGTAGCTTACATCGATTTCAGCAAAGCTTTCGACAAAGTTCCGCATAACCGGCTGTTATATAAGCTAAGGAATGTCGGGATTGGAGGCAATCTATTGATGTGGATAAAAGAATTCCTAGTTGGGCGTCAACAAAGAGTAAGGGTGAACTCCAAGTTGTCTAGCTGGGAAACTGTGCTTAGTGGAGTCCCCCAGGGTACAGTTTTGGGGCCAGTGTTATTCCTCCTGTACGTAAATGATCTCCCTCGTCTACTATCGTCATCGGTCTTGCTCTATGCTGATGATGTCAAGATATGGAGAGCGATACAAAGCAAGGGCGATAGCTTAGAACTTCAAAATGACCTGGAGAGATTATCTGAATGGTCCCAAACCTGGCAATTGCCGATAAACACTTCCAAGTGTATTGTGATGCATATTGGCCACCAGGGTACAGATACATACACGATGAATAACACTGAGTTACCTATTGTCCAGGCACACAACGACTTAGGCGTCATCGTTAGTCAAGACTTAAAGACTACTGCACACTGCCGTGCAATAGCTGCCAAAGGTTTTAGGACTTTATGGTCCATACGCAGGGCTTTTAGGCATCTTGACGCTAAAACGTTTCTGACTTTGTATACAGTGTTCGTACGCCCTAAACTTGAGTACTGTATACAAGCAGCTAACCCCTGCCTAAAAAAAGACAGTGAAATCTTGGAAAGGGTTCAGAGAACAGCAACTAGGCTGATTTCAGGAATAGCGAAGCTCCCGTATGGTACTAGACTGACCAAGCTAAACCTATTCCCGCTGACATATAGAAGAATCAGAGGTGACTTGATTATAGTTTTCAAATTGCTTAATGACAAATTTGCACCTGATATGCCCTCATTTTTCTTGTCTTCCAAAACAGAAAATCTACGAGGACACTCCAAAAAAGTTCACAAGCCCAGAACGAATTACTTGTCAGCTGACTACCGACTTTCCCATCGAATAATCAACGAGTGGAATTCATTACCTCAGCACGTGGTTGAGGCTCCATCCGTCGACTCCTTCAAAAGAAAGTTGGATCAGCTGAGAGACCATCATTGCCAGGACTAACACAGGCCATCAAGCCTCCTGTCCTTTCCAAACTGAAACTGAAACTGAAACTGATATATCCTCAGTGATACAGGTGCATATCTCATCAACACTAATGATGTCCAAAATCTTCTTCACATCCTCACCTTGCACCGTTCATAGATTATACGTCTTTGGACTGCTTTCTGTCAGTACTACTGACATTTTTCCCGCCATCTTGCTAGTCACAAAGACTGGTTTGGATGACTTGTGCCCTTGAGAATGCGCTCCGTTCAAATTTTGCCGGCAAAATGAGAGGAAGTGACTGACAATAAAAGTCAGGATGTTTGACATAGATGCCAAACTACTAGAGCAGTTTAGTGCACTTGGTACAACAGACAAGGATGAGTTAATAAATCAACTAAAAGCAGTCGTTGGAAATGAGCTAACTGACGAGTCATGTCGTTTTTTCTTAGAATTGGCCGACTGGTAAAGTAAAAACATCTGATGATAATAGTGTTTAAGGAACCTACAGCGTGCAATCGGTGCGTACTTTGATTTCAGTTTTGAGGGTTCCGCATCAGTTAGTTGTGCATCTAATTACCCACTTCCTTCCGTGAGTGTTTGCGAATCATCTGCGAATGTGGACTGCATGCGTATAGATTCCGAAGTTCTAGTAAACCAAAGGCAATTTGATGCACGGATATGGCCATCACCTTACGACGTTCCGGAACTTGGTGGGTTTATCAAAGTAACTGTCGAGAACTGTGGTTCTTGTTCTTGGCCTGAAGGAACGTTCCTACGGTCCGAAGTTAGTGCTCGTTCATAACTATTTTAACCACATTTGTAAGCAGGTAGACCACGCTGTTGCACGATTAAACAGCTTATCTGCAGATAACAGTGAAGTTCTATGGCTCCCAATCGGTGTAGATGGCAGAATTTCTATTCTTCCAATACCTCCGCATCAAATTGTAGATCTAACATTAAATCTCACTCCTCCGAATCTCCAGCTAAATTACCAATGCCCTGTCGTTGGAGCATTGTCCTTCTGTCTACCCAATGGCGATAGGTTTGGGGGTTAGTTATTTTTACATGAGAATTTTGTCGCCCAAGTAATGGTGTGTTTCCTAAATGCTTTGTACAGGTTCATCTACTATTTTGCTTTTCTTTAATAAATTCTCATGTTTATTTTAAAGAGTCATGCAGTAACACTCTCAGTGTCAATTAATGAATTATCTGTACAGTTCTTGATATATCAAGTATGAGAAAATAGAGGGTTCTTTTGTGAGATTTATTAAACTACCATTTTTTAAATTTGTAGCCTCAGCGATCGTAGTGCACTTTGGCTATTAAGGGTCTGAACGTGGCTGACTAAAGTTACTTGTGATATTAAAGTCTACGGCACACAACATAGATATGTGGTTGCGGGGAGTTAGTATTTATATACAGAACGCTACTAATTACTAGTGCTGTAGAGGTTGAGTCAAATTTACGTCGAGTTTATGTCTAACCTTATTTTGTCAATTAACTACTCCCCCAATGCATTTGATTAACATGATCGAGCTCTGAAACTTGAAAGCATTTATCTGAGATGCAAATCTCTACCATATATTCTAAAATGTGAAGTAATATACAGTAGGAAACCGTCTCTTTCAATTGATATTTGAAACAGGATACAGCTTTCGCTTACATTTTAGTCACTGTGGGACTTGTCAAGTAAAAATTTATACTTACCGTTCGCATAGCCACTGATTTACTACGTTGTTTTTTGGTCTACCATATGAGTAGTTTAGAACAAGGCGTAAAACAACCAAAAGATATCGGTCGTTGAAATCCTTTCTTACTAGTCTAAGTTGTGTGTTCTTGTCTTTCTTTTAAACTAACCTATATGATTCTAAACCCACCGTGATTGCACTTGTTCCTTATCTTTATATTTCCCCATCATCCCATACTTTCCTGTCCAAACCATGTCTCTTTTCGCGCCATATCTATGTTCATTTTCCTACCATGGTTAATATTTTTTCCACTTTTGCTTTCTTTGATACTTTCGTATCTCACTACCGTGACATCCCGGAAAAGTATCCATTTGTTTTACTTTGTGTTGTCTACAATTATGTATACGAAGTGATAGCAGTGTCCTAGTGGGGATTTGTACACTCGCTTCTGACGTACACTGTGAGACCTAGTGATTACTACCAGAATCTTAGGACCTGATTGAGTCAGATCTAGAATCGAATTGTAAGTCAATTAGTCTATTTCTTAAGCCATTCTCTTGAGTCCTAAGCTTCGGTTTCACATAATACCTGATGTTCTTCGAGTTTATCATTTTCTCGAGCAGTACTCAGCCTAGTATTTCCCACTGTCATTGATACTAATATTATTCTGATCTTTATTCTCATTTCCTTGTGTTGACATGTTATGAGAACTTGGGCTAACGTGTAGGTTTTAAGCTAGTTATGACTGACCAAACCCCCGCCGTTTTAGTTCTTATGACAAATCTATCTTCGGCTTCAAAATGGAAGCCAAGGTTTCAGATGAAAAATTGAAGTAGGTTTCAGGAATACGAGTAGATGTATTTGATCCTATATTGTAATTATCCTACTTATTATCTTTCACATATATTAAAACTTGTTTTAATCGTCTCACCCCTGTTGATTTTTTTTCACTATTTACTGTCTTGAAACATCAATTCAAATGGATGTTTTTCAAGGGGTCTTGTCTTAGTTCTCCTTATATTATGTATATGCCTGATGTACAGTCATGGTCAAGACCACAGTTAAGTAATCTCAATTCGCCTAACATACTCCACACAACCTCTGTTAAATGATACCATATAAGATGTTCGCTCCTAAACGTTTAACACGTCTATTCATACTTTAGAAAATGTTCCGAACTATTTAATTACGCGGTAACTAAGTTGCTCATGTTCCCAATTTTCTTGTAGAAATTCTTTACTGCACTGCTGTACCTGATTTGGAACACATGACTTGGAGGTATCAAAGAGGCATATTAGCAAGCAACGTGAGCGCTGGACGGTATAGCGTAAGTATAATAGTGTTTTACAAACAACGATTGATCAGCGTTAGCTGATACCCAGATAAACCATTTGATTTTTAACTACCAATGCATTTATATTTATAGTCGTATATTTTACTTTCCAGCCTATGGTTTTGGAAGATGTTTAAAAACAATATCTGCGGGATCCAACTGTGATAGTATCTCCGTGTTTGACCTTCAAACTTGTCCATAATACTTATTTTCTTGACTCTAATCTCCAGGTATTCGTGCCAATATTTATTTTCGTTACCAAAATGATTCTCTTTATTCTTCAGACATGGTAAATGTATTTAACTTAGCCCAAGCTAGTCGGTATACATAATAACTAATGTACGAACCTCATAAAAAATTTCAAAAATGATTTATTGCTTTTATAAAAAAGTTGTTAATACATTTATTTTTCCAAGCGTAGTAGACTATTACAGAAAAAAAATCAAGATTACATATTAATGATCATTCAAAAAATCAGGGTGAACTGCTTCACAATGTATTTGCAAAGCAGCAGAAAGACTTGATTGAAATAATAAAAAGACAGCAGTCAAGATTTAGCAATTACAGGTTAATCTAGATTAAAAACTGAATTAGACTTGTAGGTAAAATGTGAGTCAAAGCATACAAAATATCGATGTAGGGTAGATTCAAACCTGCAAAAATTGAGTAACAACAAAAATGATATTCCTGTTAGAAATCTTTGTGAAACCGAACAAGCAGACAGAAATATTAATAATTATTATCCGGCTTACTTGATGTTTATTAGCCCCGTCATGATTGGTGCTAGATGTTAGGCTATCCGTCCTTATTCTTTTTTTCCCAGGCTTTCTCGTGCTGCACGGATAAGCGGTCCAAGAGAAGACAAGCTACCTGCATGCTTAAAAAGATCGTGATTAAGTAGTTCCTTTGCAGAAGCTCGTCTTACAGGATCTACGACTAGACATCTGTCCAGAAAATCTTGAAGCATCGGATGCAAGTTCTTGGTTTTTGGTCTAGGTTTCCCCATTGTCTGAATTAAGTATATTGCCTGAGTAATACGAAAAGGATTTCCGTTACTTTAAAATTCAAATAGACTTTACAATGATTACTAATAACGCAGTAGTAGCAACCTTTTCACTTTCTAATTTAATCAGTGACTAGTCTGCGATAAGTAACACAAAACAAACCCTCCTACTTACATAGAACTACTTGCCGTTGTAGAAAATTATCGCGTGAATGTGGAGTAAGAATTAGTGCCCCCCAAACATTCACATTTAGAGCTTGTAAATTAGTACCGTGTCAGCGATAGTAAAAAAGATTAAAATGTGGTTCACAAGAGAATGAGAGACAATATGCTACAGTCAGCATGTTTAGTAGTTTGAGGAAACACAAAAAGTGATATTGGTAGCAAAATCTGTTTAAAGACAATTCAAATGTAGGCGGTGAAAATATCTTTTCATACTTGCTGTTTTTAGACAGATTGGACGTAGGCGTTAGCACGTTTATACTAATACTGCATATGGTTTTCTGCATTAACCTTAGACATCCAAACTATATTTTGAAAGATACTCTAACTGTGGCCCTTTTAAACGAAGCCGATAACAGTGACAGGTGACTAAGTTCAGTAGTATTTCGGCTTGTGTTTGAGGGTAGATTAGACCTATTAATTCATCGGTTTTAGGTTTTGTGACTAATAAAAAGAAACGTCAACGTCCTATGTTGAACGAAGACTCATTACCTCAAGTTGTCACAATTCATGATATGATACACAAAAATATGATATCCACATAAAATTTTGACGAGTAATGAAATGTATAATATACAGTATACGAAGGTTGAATACATTCGCATTTCTTAAGATGGGATAACCTTAAGCATGCTGGACAATTTCCGCTTTTGTTACTTACTATCATTTGTTATTTATCTGTATAGGTTGTTTCCACTCTTCACTATGCTCGTAATCAACCAGGATAAATACTTGTACACTAATCATTCCATATGAAATTGGGAGGACACCTTCAACTATAGTTATCTGTTTTAGTTGTTCCTCACAGCAGTTTAATGTTTAGCTTATTTCTTTTTGGCGTTATCGTAAAACCGAAGATGAATAGACTTTCCTGTAGTCTGTCTTTTTCCACAGACATATGGTCATGATCGAAATATGAACAGGTGATTAGTGAGAATCTCCTGAAGATCTCACGTAACAGTAATGAGTATGATGATTTGTGCATCCACTTTTATGTTGATGTCAACGGTAACCGAGTCAGGTGGTCTCAGTACGTTTGGAACTACTGATAAGCAACAAGTAGTTGAAGGCCATTACACTATCCGCTTGTCTACATGGGAATCTGAAGATAACCTAGTACGCCCCTATCTGGCTCCACCTCTAATTGCATATTGATCTCTTGGAGACTGTGGTGGACGGTGTACTGGACATTATATTTAATTGAGCCGAGTTAGTAACGATCTCAGAGTAAAACGATTCAGAAACAGATACTTAGTTAAATCAATTGACACAAGTTAGCGTATTCGGATTTAACTTACACGTTTAGTGCGAAAGCTAGTGACAGTACCTAAATTTAATAGTCAAATTTAAGCAGTACTACCAACATGCGAAGATAAAGATGTTTACCAGTGGATAGGAATCGTTCAGTATGTGGGCAATTTTACGGCTATTGAAGCTAGGAGCTGGTGCGACTAAGTAGTCTCAAAATGGATCGGTGTTAAGCAACGGAGGAGCCCAATGGGATTACCTTGAAGCTGCATACAACAAGCCTCTATAATAGAACTGCTTCTGTTCCCTACAATTTTCGGGGAGACCCACGGTAATTGTTTATTTGTAAGCCAAAAAGTATATTAATGAAGTCTCAGTGGGAATTTGAAGAGTGAAGAAACTGTAGTTGTTGGTGTTCGTATTTCAGCAGTCAGGTAACAGGCCATTTAAAAGACCACGGATTCGGGAAATAGTCAGTCACAGCGTAGAAATTCGTACGTACGTACATCAGTTCGAGCTGCCATACCACATCAGCACAGAGATGAAGTTGTCAATTTAAATCCCATAGTGGTGGAAATAGTAAGAGTATAAGCATTATGTGAAAGATTAGGGTTTGAAGGAGTAAAATACAGTGAGATAAATTTGAAAAAAGATAGGGACATAAGGAATTTAGAGAATTAGAATTTGGTAGAACACAAAGAGTGGATGCACCTTCGCCATTGTAAACGATTTTGAGTCATGTCTCTATCTATCGGTTGCTATCATCATCATTCGGGAAATATAAAGAGAAATAGTCCGGTTCGTTAAAATTCGGATGAATTTCCAAAGGTTGGGCGCAGAATATTATTTGGTGTTTAGGACTTCTCGATAAAAAAAACTGCTCCTGACGCCTCGTAGGAGAGTCACTGGGCTGCACATACTCGACCATCGTCGTGTCATATCTCTCAAGTGAATGTTGGAGTGGTTGCTAAGACTTATTTCTTGACACTAGAACAATAGTTGTACACCTTTTCTTTAAGTTTTAAGATGTATGAGGGTTGTAGAATGATGAAAGTAGAGTCAATTGCTGGTACACTGCATTCGATAGTCCGACACCGGGGTATTTTGCTAACCTGATATGGTTGTTGCAAGCCATCGACCAAACACTATCGAAGTGACCAGGTTGAAGTAAATTTGGCGAACTCTATACCTTGGATTCAGTGGGCGATAATCAAACCACAGGTTGGTACTTTTTGGCTACAATTTACTTATTATTAACAATGACCCTCAGACGAAATGAGCTTAAACTCAGGGTAAAGAAAGCAGGTCAGTATATAACATTTTGGAGAGGTGCAATGCTTGAGCGGAAGAAACTCTCATAAATTGGTCTTTTTCAAATGAAGTATTCATGAACGGACATCTTAGTCATCAGCAAACGACATGTCTTCCTGAGCAAATGGCGAGTTTCCCTAGGCTCTACGGTCGAACAGTAATAGCCTAGATAATCTAAAAAAATAAATACTTTCATCAGTTGCACAATGTGGTAAATAAATGGTTTAACATACTTTTAGTGGAGGCTCATTCATGTAAGGTGGTTCTCCATCCAACATTTCAATAATCATAATACCAAGTGACCAAATGTCGATTTTCGGCCCATAATTTGCAGTTTTCGAAACAACTTCAGGAGCCATCCAATAAGGAGTCCCAACCATAGTTTGGCGTTTACTTTGACGGTTGCCGAGCTGAGCACAAAATCCGAAATCGGTTACCTTGACTTGACCCTGTTTTCCAAGCAGTACATTGTCGGATTTTATATCCCTGTGAAAATGTAAGTAAATTGAGTTATTTTAATCCGCGTCGTAGGTTAGAGGTGAGATAGAAGTGTTTAACCTGAATCTTTGTACAAGACTCACTATAACATGTCTTCAAGCTTCATAACTTGTGCTAGTTTATATGACTTAAATGAGCAGGACTTGTAGGATACTTCTAGAAAAATTGGTTGAGAATTGATTAATCCAACTATGTCTTCATTATGACGTGACTACTAGCTTAAAAGATCGCACTCTGCAATGCGAATTGGTGACAGATTCTCAAAATTGATCGATAGGGAATTATCAGATCCGAAAGTAATGCATTTCATCAGTGATTAGAAAGGTAGGTCTGGTGATTATGGAAATAAATGCTCCGTTCAAGTTTTAAATTTATGCCACTGTATCGCAGTTAAAGAAATCAATAGTGAGCTATTCAGATATAAATGATCTCCGGTCAGTATATATGTTCCAGAACCATTTACACATGTTAATTCTAGGAAGATCACTGCATTGAATCTGTGAAGTAATATGCTGTCATTTATATTCCAGTAAAACACTGGTCTATACAACATATGCCCTCGTAAATAGCTATGCATACTTAAAAGGTATGCAAGTCTACTAATTTGGTTTATACAAATAGATTAATAGATTCATTTATTGATGGAGTCAAATTAAAGGTAAGTTTTGTGAATGTGATTAATGATCTGAAAGAACTGAAAATATAGTGCATAAAAATTGACTAGTTATTTTTTATAGGTTGTAGTAAGTCAAATAACACTTGAACTTTTCCGGATACCTTAACAATGTTTGCTTTGTGGGGTTGATTATAATATTACGTTTTTCATAGCGATGAAAAGTAGTTAACCACGTGATATCTGGAAGTGTTATTACAGCCCTATTAATACCTAGAACGAGAGATAAAAAAACAGCAAGAAAACATTAGAATAATGTACTATACCTATGTATTATATTTTGATCATGTAGAAATACCAAGGCTTTTACACATTCCCGAACAACAGCGGCGATTACGTCTGGGGCCATGACAGTCTCAGTGACTACATCTGTCAGTGCACCACCGTCCAGGTATTCCATCACAACCCATAGCTGATTTTCATTTCTTAATAAATAGGATGCTAAGTAATTAACAATATTTTCATGCTGTATGCGCTTCATGACAGCGATTTCGGAAACAATTAAATCGCGATTGGGCTGTTTATCTAGTTTCATCACTTTGACAGCTACAATTTGTCCTGTTTTTTTATTTCGACCAAGTCGAACGGTACCTGAAGCACTTAAAAAAGACAAAGGAGCAAGTCCACGTCTAAGTCAGATTTATGGAAATATACAATTAACAATTGCATAAACATCTATAAACACAATCGGTTGACTAATTTAGTGCTGTGTGCTTCTAGCAAAGAAAAATAATCAGTATGTGGTCAAAATGAAGGGGGTAGAGGAACACGAGAAAATAAACTGATATTTCAGATAGTTATGCTGTTTTTAGTTGTATTGATTGAAAACGCTGGATAGTATGGAAAAATGTAGAATGGATTAAATCAGTTAAGCTATTCGTTTAAGGACGTTTATGCGTATTCTGAACGTGAAGGTTAGTGTCCAAATAAACAAATGCATAAGTCGGTAAATTTATTTTTAAGACGAATCAGTAGGTATCCATTTGGTTAGGAATTGTGACCAGATGATATTGTTCATTGCTAATTTTTTTCTAAAGGAAAAAGTGTCATGTTTTTTTTTTAAAAACTTATAGTTAAGTTTCTCATTTAACGACAATACTTTTTCGTGCACAGAGTGAGAGGAAAAAAAAGCATTTCAGAAAAGTCATCAGGCTTAGTATGAATTTCAGCACACAAAATTTCTTGGTTTCAAATACCACGTGCTTATTGTGTATCAAGTTAATTAATATTGATCAGCAGAACAAATGTAAACCTATCAAGACGCTAAATAGAACAAATTAAAATTTTAATAGAAAAACGCAGATTTACTGATAAGGCTTATGAGCTTTTTTTTATACTTAGAAGTGACGAGTAACTAATGCATTGTACAGCTTTTAGTGGTAGTTGTTCAATAGATTTGAGTTTTTGGTTCAAATAATTTGAGACGTAGAAGTGTTAGTGTTTGAAAGTTAGATTACACGATATTCTACATCATGTTTCATAGTATTAGACTGATACTGTTAATGAGATGATTAACTGCATTCTGAAGGATAAATGAGTACTCATCACACAGGTGACGATTAGCTCTTTGTACAAATTTACTCGTCATATCCATATACCACCTAAACAAAACAACAAAAAGTAGCTAACTACCAATCAGTGTTTTGCATAAATGCAACGGCGAGACTATAATTTGTAGACGACTACTTCTGATACTAAAGTACCTTGAGAATTCCCAACCACTTATTAGGATCAACATTAGAGTTATGAATTAGGATTCAGAGAGTTAGAAGTTCGGGTCTTCATCATGAACAGACATCAACATTGATGCCAGAATTGTAGTCATTTCGATGAATTGATTACGTGCAAAAATCTAAGAGACACCAACTTAAATCTGATTGGTTTGTTGATAATTTATGGTTCCACCATTTAGATCATATCTGGATACAACGTTTAGTGATAAGTGTAAAGAACAAGTGGGGAGTATATGGGCTACAGACATCGTATTACACAAGAACTTTCCAATAAGTCATCCCAAAGTGACTATAAGGTGAAATATTGTCAGCACTTAATTATATGCCAAAATATGAATATATAATATTGATTCTGTTTGTTTAATTAGTGTAAAAGTTAAGACATTTGCGTTTCACAATGTAACATCAACATCAGTGAAGAACGGACAGTTGGTAATAAAAACATAATATTTATCGGTAATGAATTTTATATTTAGATAACACGTGTACAAAATGCTCAATAATGAGTCCCGCTTTCATGAGCAATAATAACACACTTGACTAATTAATTTTTAATATAAAAAAACAATCAACACTTGTATGACTACATCTTTGGAAGATGGAATAAAGAAGTTGTGACGATGGTGTAAATTAAAACTTTACGAAAACTTTCCAACTGATTATACTACTTCAGAAAAGCTCATCAAAATTATTTACATAATGTGAACAGATGAACTTACCTAACAAGTGTATTCATATTAATAAGATATGTTGAGAGTTATAAGCTGCGCCAATCAGGCACAATAGGTCAAACTAAAGGTGAAATATGCTGACAGGTGCACTTGGTGGGTCGAGCTGGCATGGTCACCCAAAGAAAATAGATATTTATGGATATGTTTGTACATATATTTTGATTCGGGTTAGCTAACAAAAGTTGGTTACTTGCTCCTAGTTTTCTCACTCAAGTAGCTGGTTAGGCTTGTGTAAATACGTGTATTGGACACGATCAGCCACCCAACACGACAGAAAGTATTTAAAACTAACCTAGAAACGTCACATCAGTATACTATTTATTTTTAAGAAATGTGTAACATACAGAAGCTTTCATAAGTAGTGAGTAATGTACTGTAGGTCATAAACAAAAATTATATTGGAAGGGTTTATCTGGCTTTGGTTTTCTAACGGACAATATTTTGTAAGTACGCAAACAATAAGTGTCGGATGCGTTAACAAAAAACCAGGTTAACCCCAGTATTAATTTTTTTCGTGGAAAAAATTTGCATGCACATAATTTTGTGTGAATAGATAAAGAATGAAACTTTTACGAGACTGAAAAATGCATACTGAAGATCATTACTCATACATACGATATTTAAGATAACGCTGAATAGCACAACAAAATTGCAGTACGTAACAGTTCACGATAGACAACAATATATACAAACCATAAACTCAAACATTTTACACAATCCCGTATTAGCGTGTTGGAAATAAACGGACTTTTAAAACTAGTAAGTAAATAGCCACGAAACTACGGTACATTATTGAAAGATATGTATTCTTTCCTAGTTTACTAGTTGACTTGAACTGCGGTGATATAACGACAAGGTAACATCATTCCAATTTTGTAAAAGTAGAAACTATTTTATGATAATATGCCGTAAACAAACTTTGAAACAAATCAATATTAACTAATTACACGGATATGTAACTCATTATGGAATTATGAAAAGAATATTCTATAAGACATTTTTGAGTAGCATAAAATATTTAGTGTAAATTATTGTCGTATATATATGTAGGTGTTTAATCATTACTCACTTTAGCTATGCAAACAGCTAAGATAAATGATAAAGGCAATTATTTTGTTTAGATTTAATATAATCAGGTGTATCTATTTAATGTCTATTAATGCCTTCCTTCGAAAAACTGACTTTGACGTGTCTAATTCACAGTAACAAACAGAACTATGGGATATAAGATAGACTGATATCTTTGGAGATAAAATTGTTTTCAATGATTTCTTTGATTATATACTACTGCCGATTAGTACACTCAGGAATGTAATGATTTCAGCCAGATAATTAATTATCTTTTATTTACAGTTATACTTTAACGAAAAATCAATAAACATTGAATTAAATCAGTGATTAGAAAAGTGGATTGTTTTTGACAACACTAATAACAATCGATTGATTTTCTTTTTTACAAATAAAATGAAATACACAGAAAAAACTAGAACGAAATTTACATTTAGAATCTTGCTGTTAATATGAATCGGCAGTAATATTGTTGGGAATGTAAAATCCTTGAATATAACTTAGAAGAAAAGAAATCAATGTTGACTTACGATGAACTTTAGTTACACTATTTTTAGAAATTGCTTAGGTAATGCATGTAACCAGCATATCTTTTCTTTTCAATCCATTCTCCAGTGTTTACTCTTTATCATCACAATTGTACTTTTTCTATTCGTTTTTACTTGCTGTCAAATCTATCTCGCCACTCTAATGTGGTATGGAAATTTAGGCTAACGCGCATTTTTGCTTATGACTGACCAAAAAGTAATCACATAATGCTACTATTTTTGAGTAAGAATTAAAATCCACGTAAACCAAAACAGGAAACACATACGCATGACATTTGGCTGATAAAAACGTTTTTGTCATGTCAGTAGTTGACAATTGAAATCAAACATACCGTCCTAGTCCCGTATAGATGGAAGAAATCCAAGATTTTAAAAAATTATAATGCTTAGGTAACACTGCAGAACAGTAAATCTCTAAAATGAAGTGAAGCTTGCGTTGATAAAGCCTACTGACTGGAGGAAACACTAATTTTAACCAATATTCAAGAAATTTGTAAAGTAAGAGTATCTTGGAATTTTATGAGGCCAGTGGCCAAATGAGACTAATCTAAGTAATGAGGACAAGCAACTATGATTACATTAACATACGTGAATTTCAAACGGTAAGAATCTAATAGATGTTATGTAAAAGGATGGATAATGGTTTTAATCAATCGATATGCATAGAAATTTGCCTCTACATTTGAGATATTGTTTACTGGTAGTACTATAGAAGATATTCAACAAAGAGATTTAAACTAATTGTAACTAACAAAATGCTAATATCTTGTGTACATATGCGAGTAGGATAATTGAACGTTTAGTTAAACTTATCAATACTGTTATTTATTATGACTGAATTCAATATAATCAAACAGCATGATCAGCACGTACGTTTGAGATCCACTTTCAGCATTCGATAAATAAGAATTTTGTAATAATGACATTGCGACGAACCGTAAAAATCATAGAAATAAGTTTCGTCTAATAGTAGAAACTTATCGTGTGCTAAGCAATTTGAAAGCTGCCAGGAATAAATAGACTTAATTTAAATAAATATTTAGTAATTGTGACTGATAACTCCGCTTGTAGCCCCCAAATGCTCTGGTACGACTGAGAGTGGGAAGAGTCCGCTCCCCCTCTCGAAATGCTCTCACATGGCCACACGTATACAGCCACTGCCGGACAAGATTTATTCACTGCCTTCTCGCGGCGGGAATGTTGTTTATAAAACTGAGAAGACGAAAAGCGAATGTCCAGAGCTTTATTCGGGTTGATGAACACGGAAAGTTCACCTAGGGGAGTTGGAAAACCCTGATCCCAAACCAATGATGCACATGGGCTCCAGTATCTTGAAGTAACAAATGGCGTATGAACCAATCGTTGGTCACCGACTACTATGGGACTGCATCTCCTCACGATGCCCCACTGCCTTTTCAATTAGACCTTTAAGCCGAAGGCTCGGGGTGTGGCCCCCTAAGAAACCACCTGCTTCAGTTTGGGCACCTGGGCAGTATCACAGCCCTCACACAAATCAGAT